GACTTTGTTGTCTTTCCTATTGGCAATTATTATTATTATTATTATTATTATTATTATTATTATTATTATTATTATTATTATTATTATTATTGTTGTTGTTGTTGTTGTTGTTGTTGTTGTTGTTGTTGTTGTTGTTATTGTTATTATTATTATTATTATTACACCACAGGAAGTCCTCAACTTACAACCATAATTGAGTCCAGAATTATGATTTTAAGTCATTGAGGTTATAAATCAATACATCATAACACTGGTTTTGATTTTTAAACATTTTTGTGAGTTATTAGCTGAACACTATGGCCATTAAATGAACACCTTGATTATTAAGTGAATACCATGGTTGTTAAGTGAATCTATTTTACAAAGTGGATGGGTCCATAAATTCATTTATGACATGACAAAATATACAAGTAAAGTAACTAACTTTCAATGCTGTGACTCTGAGACACCCTCCCCCACAGGTTGCTTATAACCTTAACTATTTTGTTCCCAAGAATAGGCTGCCAGGCTGAGGAGATTCCTATTATAGGAACAGAACAGAACAGAATAAGGTAGTTAGCTTAAACTCTGCACATGTAGGTCTTGTTGTTCCCACCTGACAATTCCTGACAACAAAGAAGTGTTTAATTTTTTTAACACCCTAATCCCGCTATGATGTAATTACATTACTAGCCTCTCCCTCTCTCAGCTTTAGAAGCTGCAAAATATTAAAGAGTATCACATCACCACACGGCTGGAATAAAACACCATCTATCCATTCTTGAAACAAAAGGTGCAGTTTTAATGAAGTAGATGTGGTAGATACTTGTTCTTTTGTCTGGCAGAAAAGAACACAAGATTTTGCTAACACAAAACTACAGTTGTACTTGCCAAAAACCAGAAGAATGTGCAGAAGGGAAGCAAGCGGATGTTAAACCTGAGAGAGCCAATTCAGGAAAGGTTTTATGTTAAATTGTTTTCAATGAAGTCATTCCTACAATGCCTTCCTTATCAAGCCGCTGAATCTTCCCTGCCTTTGATCATGTTCAGTTGTAGGAAACTCATTTAAAATTGAGGAAGTCCCTCCACTTGTTACCTGTTTAAGTGCCACTTACCTGTTTGAGTACCAATTTGGTCATCTCCTAGAAATAAATGAGGAAGCAAAAGAAACTGGCATGTAATTCTCTGATTAAGTAAATTTGAGATTAAAATGAACAAAACCAACCCCAGGTAAACAATCTGTTTTTTAATCTTAAACCAAAGGCTGTGACTTTGATTGTAAAGCTTATGTAACCAGTTACAAATCTGCCAAATGTTTAAATTTGATTATTGGTTTGTTAATCACAGGAGTGTCAATCGGAGAAGTAAAAAAATACAGGATAGTGACTACAGCCACACAACTAAAGCTCCAATCATGCAGTCATTGCTGCCAGCCAAATATTTTAACCCTCCTGTGAGTGCCCTCAGTTAATCAGTTTGTAAGCGAGGTGCCAAATTAAATAGGAGTGGCTAAACACAGAATTCATAAATTTGTGTGGATGTGAGGTACTTCCCAAATTTCTTAAATCTTTATGTTAAAACTGAGCAGCAAGGAACGACTTTTTAAATTTTGAACCTTCTACCAAAATAGGAGCATTTGAGCCCCTTTTAAAATAGCATGCCTACTTTACTATTTGAAAATTGTAAACATAAAAGACAGCAAAAAAAAACAACACCTTAGCTGTACCTATCTGTTGACTGTGTCACACCATGTCCTGTACTATCACAAATTCCATGTCACTAATACATGTTCCACATCACTAATACACAGGCAGGGGCAAGGCTGTATTTCCACATTCCAGTCCCAATCACATTGTATATAAAATAGGTAATGGGAACAATATGCAAATAAAAGGAAAGGCTCAAAGCTGTTAATCTTTTTAGGGGTATTTGGAGGGTGGGGCTTGAAATAAGGAATAAAATGTCCTACAGGGGCCTAAAGTATGCATGTAGTATTCATATTAAAGTCTTCCAGGTTTTGAAGAAAATATTTGATTTCCATTGATGAGTATAAGAGCAAAAATAATGGATTATTTATAGATGGCCCTACACCTTTTGTAGATGACCCTACATAAAAGGTGCCAGATTTTAACCTTCCTCACCACCATTGGTCAACTCTGAACAAGTTGTACCCAATGTGTACCCAACATGATGTCTGCCAGGACTCATTTAAGTGAGGTCTCGTCTCTACCCCTAAGTATGACTTTGGTACTCCTCAACAAAATATCCATCACATTGTGTCCGAATGTCCATCAAAAGTTTACACCGGCCCAATGTCTGATTTTCTTTCAACATAGGTCACCTGTCCTTGAATGGCTGGATGAACTGAACATTAACATTTGAACCACTATAAATCCATGTATTTGCCATAGACTAAATATAAAATAAAATGGATTAGTTAATCTTTACATCCACCTACCCAAAGCAGGTTGAATGGATTGCCTTGGTGATGTCAATGGCTCCATTCCTTGCAGTTCTTTGGGACCAAAATAACTCAAAAGATGCAAAGTTTAACTGCCACTTCTTTTGTATGCCTTCAAGTCAGTATCAGTTACAGAAAGTTTCTCACTTCTACCCTTCAGTAGTAGTACTCAACAGTAGTATTAGAAGTAGCAAATAAATATCAGAAAATCTTTTGGACATGCTTCAAGTTTTATCAGTCTGGCATCTAGAAGCTCCTAATCAAACAAACAGGCTTTGCTTCCTTGCGAAATATGTTTATGCTAAGGGAAAGCTTTAGAAAATTAAAAGTAGTGGGTCAAAACACAATCATGCTATGTTGTTTTTTTTCAAATTCCAGTAAAAAATAAAGAAGAAGAAGAGGCATTTCTCTTTTTTGCCATTTTTTGTGCCAGGGGAATCAAGAAGTATATTTTATTTCATTTTTATTTCATTTTATTTGATTAATATATATTGCTACATGCTGTCTCTTCCTGAATGGGCCTAGGTAATATATATAATAAACATCTCTAATGTTAAAGATATAGATACAGAAACAGCAACAAAAGGCTCTAAATTTCCAAAGAGTTCCAAACAAGATTTAAGCTTTAACCCATTTTCTAAACTGTATTTAGGAAAGGGCTTCCATCTAAAGAGACTGGCCCCTAAGGGTCTCCTGCTGCCGCTACTGTTGGTGCGGGGTGGGAAAGAGAAAAAAATAATAAAAGACTCCTGCCATGGAGTGACCCACCCCACTCCCATGTACAGCAGACCTCTTTTTCCCCCTCAGCTCAGCTCTTCTTTGCCCACTAAAGTGCTCCCCCCGCTCGGCTGCCCTTACTGTTGCCACACCCTCTCTGCATGCGAGGCCAATGGCCTGAAGGGGAGAGAATGATGGCAGCACGGAGTGGCTGGCAGTGGCTACTGCTCCTGGGCTCGCTGTGGGTAGCGGGAAGTGCCCAGACCATGCCGCCTCAGCAGCAGACCTCCCACCTGCAGAACCAAGGCGGGGAAGAAGAGCAAGAGACTTGGAGCCACAGACTCACCTCTTTCCCCTGCCCCACAGTTTGCCTTCTTGGGTAGGACCAGAGTGTGCATGGGGTTAGTGGAGGTTGTGACCAACTTTAAAGTGAATGGGGCTGTTTGTGACTAAATGGGACAGAGAACATAGAGGAATGCAAGGGAACATGGAGGTAATCTAGTCCAACCTCTTCCCAAGGCAGGAGTCTTTCCTTCTCTTTGAGAGCGGT